ACTTGGATTGGAACTATGTCGGAACGAACTACTATTATAGCGATGGAAGTTTGATTGATATTGAGGAATATTCTTTAACTGATGATACTAGCACAGCAGGGGGTTGTGTTTTTGTGGACATACTTTGGAATAGATTGCGTGCAGATTGCAGTCACAATTACATTGGATACGTTTGTGAAATAAAACTTTAAAACCATGCAAGTATTAGTAGTATGGGCCTATTTATTATATTATTATTATTATTATTATTATTATTAGGCCTATTATTAGGCATATTATTAACATTATTTATAGTATTATCATCATCATTATCAACATTAATATACGGTAATCTTTTTTACTATTTTACGATGAAATTTATAAAAATTAAATTATTACTATTATTTTTATTATTATTATTATTATTATTATCAGTATTATTATTATCACTAATAAACTGATAATAATAATAATATATATATACATATATATATATACGTATACATTTGTATACATATATATGCATATATATACCTATATATACATATGTATATATATACTTATATATACATATTTATATACTGGCAAAATATTTAATGATTATGTCGTTAATTATGTCAAACGATATTTTTTGACGCATATTTACATTTTTTGTGAAGTATTTATTTTAAATGACCCAAGGAAAGAATTTGTATTTGACTAGAAGAAGCTTCAAAATACTAAAACTGTGTACAAATTTTAAATATAAATGTGGCCCACTCAAGAAAGATATGTTTCTTTCATAGCATTCGTTCAAATAATAAATTATTAATAAATGAAAAAGTAATAGTAGTTAAAATAATAGCTTTTCCCGCTTTACTTTGATTTTCACTCATATATCCTCCCTGTGATTGATTTTGATTAACCATATATTGTGACAAACTAAAATACAAAACTCAACGTTATCACATCGAATTCACATTTGATACCAGATTATTTAGACAATAAAGAAATAAAATGAACCTATTGCATTTATTTTATCTACCGTATATTTTTATCTTTGGTTGTATTTTGCAAGAAGGGGAGAGTTCGCTAGATAACCAGGCGCTGTAATCAGTTCGTATTAATTAAACAAAAAAAAATTTTATCCCTCACCCTGACCTTCGCCATGGCAAACGGTGCGGAAGTCTGGATCCATACTTGTCTCTAATCAGGATTTCGCCCCAAAACTTAATTAATTAATTAATTACCCAAAATAAAAAGTTTGATGCTCAATAATCAAATAGCAATGTTTAAATTTTTGAAAAAAAAAAGACAATTGATTGGTAAACATAATGTTAGAGACAAACTATCTTGTTCTCTAAAGGTAAAATTCATTGTTTTGCTGCTTCTTATTGTGGTCTGTGACAGTTGTCCATCCACCTGCTACGCCATTCCCGAAAACCGATGCATCAAGTTAATCAAGGAGCAGTTGTTAGATTTGTCTGAACTTCACGCGAGCAAGGTGTGCGAAAAGTACGCCATTGGCACAAAAGTTGCATCGTATATCTCGGTGACATCTCCAATTGACATAGCCATACTAAAAACTTTTAGTCCTTGGATTTTCACTTTCTACTTGGATTGGAACTATGACGGATCGAACTACTACTATAGCGATGGAGTTGTGATTACTATGGGATGAATATTCTTTAACGGATAAAAGAGAAATAGCAAGTGGCTGTGTTTATGAGGACGTATTTTGAAATGAAGTGTATGCAAATCGCGGTAGAGTGATGATGTACGCGCTTATGAACACCACCACCACCACCACCACCGACACCACTACTTTTACTATGATTACCCCCGTCAACGAAGTTGGCAGGAGGTTATGTTTTTGTCCCTGTTTATGAAGTTTGATTTATGTATGTGTGCATATATGTGCGATACGATATGCATATGTATATGTATAATATATATATATATATATATATATATATATGTGTGTGTGTGTATATATGTATGTATGCGTGGGTATGAGTATATATATATGTATATTTATACATACAATCAATCACATTTCAAGGTCTGTTATTTTATTTATCCTTTTATTAAACTTCCATTGCTTTGCAGCAATTTTTTAGATTTTGTATATGTATTGTATGAGTTTTTATGTATGCGTGTATATGTATGTGTATGTATGTATATGTATATACAAATGTGAATATATGTATATGTATATATATATATATATATATATATATATATATATATACATAATATATTCAGACAGTCAACACTAAATGCAGGCACAGCAACAAATACCTACTTAAAAACAATTAACTCATTTGCATTTTCACCTGTCTTAGCATTCATATACTCGCACAACTCTTGTATTCTCTCACTCCTGAAGATTGCATTAGCATGAAACAGTCTGTAGAGTGATAATACCCAGTTCTACAAGTTCTACAATTTCAATACTTTCAATATATATAAATTTTAAAAGGCAAATGGGAAAACTCATAAAACAGCAAACGGCCACATAATGCAAAACTATTTAAAATTATTATATATATTTATATATATGTACATGGTGTATGCTTCATATATATTCTATGCATGCAGTATATTTCTTTTCCCTTTGATTTTCAAGATAGGTTCCTCCTGGCTATCCTAGATATCTCATATGGATTCGTTTTGAAGACAACAAATTATATAGGTCTGCTTCAAGTGCTATCGTAACTGTAAGAAATCATTGAAGTTTGACCGAAAATGGGGGAAGGGCCTTTAATAAAACAATACAATACAATGCATAGCGACTTTAAAGTGCCAAAAATGCGGCAAAACTATTTTAATGCACTGATAATAATAGTTAATTGAAATATATATGCTTTAGGTTTAATGTTGTTCAGGGTGTTGCTCATCTATTGTTCGAGTGTAGTGAATCAAAACAACTGTGGAATCATATTACTTTTAGTACGTCAAATAATATGATATTGAAACAACTTTTTAAAACACAATCTCCTGAACTGCCAATCTCTATGTATCTTTTTTCTATTGGAATATTTTGTATATAAAGCTAATGTTTTAAGAAATCTTATGTGAGCACTTCTGTATTTTTTGTTTTTTCTTTTAAAGGTTTTTTTCTTTTGCTTTTTGTAAATTAATATGAGTTCTATTATCTAATCACAAAGACTTTGGTATAACTATTCTTTTTTCATGTAAATACTGTATTGTCAATATCGTTGACACACAACAGTACATTATGAACAGTGAAATTCAATGCCAAAGTTTTAGCAGACGTACGGTGGCGCTAGTACAAAAACAATCCGACGAGACCAAACAGAGCCGTAGATAGAGAGAGTTTGGCCAACTCGGTTTCAATCACGTGACTTACACCGGCCATGTTGTCACCAACGCGATAGGGTAGGAAGTTAGCAGTAATATTATAGATGATT